CAGGAAGGGCTAAATTAATATTATGTCCAAAAGGCCTTGGGACAAGGAAAGGAAAAGAACCAWTTTGGAACAGAGGGTTCCCTTTCAAGTCTTTTAGTTCAGAGGAGAATTTAGAGGAACTGCTTTTCAGAAGGAAAARTTTGAAATGAGCCAGTATTTAGTGAACTGGACAATGGGATGTTTCACTGTCCTTTATGAGCTGACCAAGGCTCACTTTGAATAACTGAGGGTTAAAGTGGCAAGCTGATAAATTGTGGCCTTGCAGAGCTTGTCTGATTGCTGAATTTCTAGTGGTATTTTAAAGTAATCTGCATATGATTGCTGTGCATTTATTTTCATGAAATAAATACTGCTTGGGAACTCTGCCCAAAATTAGGCTATCAGTGGCAAAGGAAGTGATGCCAGATTAGTTATAATATTTCTGTGTGGTGATTTCCTATGTGCTCTGAATGTAGCCTGAAGGAACAGGGATGTTGAATTCAATCAGTTGTTTTCATGGAGACTTATTTGGAGCTGCTGTTAAGATGGCATTCACATAATACAAAATATGTAGATTAAAAATTTCTTTATTTCATGGCTTTCACCCCYTGAGAATGCTGTGGTCAAAATAATCTAGCATATAAAAAGAGTTTTAGAGGACTATTTCAGGAAGCAGGAGTATATGTTTACATTTCAACTTTCCTCCCTTTCTCCTCCACCAGTCAGTTTTTAAACAWATTGTACTATTTTCTCTGGCTTCACCAAACTTTATACTGCAGATAGGCCAGTTTAAAAGAATAACAATTTTTAAAAAAATAATCCAATAGAGATACTGCATTGTGGGCTCATTTTAGGCCTTSTGTTTGTGTTTCTTGATTCCCCCAGTTCCCAGATGTGCAGTGACTCATCCTGCTGAACAATGGGAACTGCAGCTCTTACTCCTTCTCTTGGTCCCACTTGGCAGAACTGTTACTCAGAGGATCTGTAKTGCAGAGGGAGAAGAGATGAGCAGTGAGAAATGAGTCAGCCAAGCGTTTGTGGTCACTCAGGAGTGGAAGACCAATGGTCAGTGTTGTACTCTGTGCACTAAAAAAGGACCATCTGAGTTACATAAAATTCATAACTCAGAGGTCACCCTTCCCTCCCCCACAACCGTCCCGTAAAACACGGGGTATGGGTGCAGGAGACACCACTGAAACATCTTGATTTATTGGAAAAGAGGATTAAAATCTGTAAAAAATAGCTAACTGGTTTGTAACTTTCCAAAGTGAAATGTACTCWCAGACTACTAGTTAGAAATAAAATAAATAAGAAATGTCAGTGCATAAAGGCTGCACTGGTAGACTCTGCTGGGACTGTGACAGAACAGTGCTTGCTATCAGTATTGTCCTGGTTGAAATGAAATAGTTTTTCATATTTAAAAACATTATTTATGAATATTGTTAGAATATTTTTAAAGGAAATAGTGTACTGTTAGGACAGTGGAAGATTTGAGTCTTTAAATCTGAAAKGCAGAAGCTCAACAATCTTCTATGAACATCATTGATCTGAGGAAGTTTCTTGAACTGCCACAGTTTTTCTTGCAACATCAGCCYGTAAAAGATCTGATCTGGACCTTTTTTGTTTGTTTTTTAAGTGAACRCACCACGATGTGATTATATTTAGGTATTTASACATAGTATAAATACACATAGAGGRTATAAATATACATATATTATAAATAACTTCGGCTTTCATTTCTACTTTGCTGCTTGTAAGCATAGCTTAAAATAGATTGTGATGTTAAAATAACCTTTTTTTCTCCAATAGAACCGTTAAAGTACTGAAATTGAAGTCATCAATCTGCATAAAGGTATTTTTAGTATCTGATGAATCAATTGCAAATATTTGCTGACGCTTTTATGGGAAGTCATGGTCATGGACCTGAAATAACTGGCTGAGATCTGGAGGAGGAGAGCACTTGAAGTGCTAAGCCACTTTGAATGTAGCTGAATGGCCAGATAGATATTGGAGAGACACTAAATATTTGTACTGAAAAAGCCAAACCAGCTTCTTTATGGTCAGTGTCTTCAAGAGAAAAAATAATTCAACRTGAAAAGGGCCGCTGATACTTTATTTTGATAATTATTTGCCTTGAATGGAAAATCTACTTTGAGTGATTTAGAAACTATTTGTGCGTGTATGCATTTTTATATACAAAAGCATTTGTGTGTGTGCAGAATACCCAAAGCATGAGACAGCTTTGTGTAAATAATAATTTATTACTGGAATTTAAAAATTCATTCAAGTGCAGCGTGATATAAAACTAAATAAATTTGACTTCTAGATCTAATTAATATTGCTGTCTCTTTTCCCTGCATGACAAGGAAAAATTAATATAGAAAGGAATGTTCAGTTAGCATAATTGTTCTAATTAAAAGCACTAATAGCAAACAGTTGKGAAACCTGGAGTTTCCATATTTTCCTCATTTAATACGTTACATGTTACTCATCGAGTCAGTTATTGCCCAGTGCAGTTGTGTGTGCTGCTGGCTCAAGGAACTGAATGTGCTTCCCAGAACATCCCAATTTTCTGTAAATCTGACTAAGATGTAGAACAAGGTTATTSCAGAAGCCTTTGGAGCAGGAACTGATGCCACATTTCCATAGGACTTAACCAGGGAATCATTAAAGCAGGAGGTTTTGAGTGTGTGCGCTGGGCTTGGGGTTAATATTTTGGGAGTGTTTTGGTGGGTGTTTTTTCCTCCCCTCATGTTTGTTTGCTTTAATGTTTTGAGGGTTTTTAACTTCAAACCCTCTGGAGCTTGTTGAGGATTTGTTGTTTTGGCTGGAARCAGATATTTTGACTTTAGGGCTGGATGCTTTTGGATTCTGTGCTRGAAGAGAATACTCAGATTCCTTCAGAGCTGTCAGACCATGCATATGGTGCTCACACCTGTTCCAGCCACCTGACTGGGTTACCCAGCTCTCACAGTGTTTTGCCATTGCTGCTTCAAATTTCCCTAAACAAATTACTTGGCTTAATTGCAGCGTCAAAAAGAGCTGGATAAAAATGTAGAAAAGTCTGTTTTCCCTAAATCACTGCAGAAATGAACGTGTATTTTTTTTTTTCCATTAATCGGTTTATTTTCTACCTCCTTCTAAATGTGCAGAATGTCAGAGTGATGGATGTGTGGGATGGGAGATAGGGGAGGCAGAGCTGTAAATCAGGTGATCCTGCCTGTGTGTCCAGCATTTCACAGGCACACGGCTGTTCCCTGCTCCAGCGTGGAGCAACTGGGTAGAAAATTGGAAGAATCTCTATCAGAAAAGGCCCCTTTGCAGTATTTTTGCACATCTGAAGGCACAGTGCAGGACAGAGCACAATAGATAAAGAAGGGGGTTTTTTTGTAGCTTCAGTGATCTTTTCTTTCTGGGCTCTGCCATCTCCTAAACATGACTAATGCTGTACAGGAAGCCCTTTTCTCTTATTCATGCAGTCTGTGATATCTCTTCTGATCCACAGAGTGCCAAAAAATACAGGAAATTACTTTCACCTTATGAAAATTCATGATTGTAAGGAAGCTCTTAGAGCAATTGTTCTTTGGAAACTTCCCCTCTCCCCCACCCCCCCAAAAAAAAAAAAAGTGGGTTTTTTTCTGGCTAGCAGTCCATTGTAAATCTTTTGTTGATCCATGGTAGTCTTTTGCAAATCCGTGTGTTTTCTCTCTTTTATGAAAAGACACTTCCAGTTTTAAATGTTAGGAAATAATAAGCTGCAGCTCCTTTTGTCTGTGCCTTATGCTGSGAGTGTGTACTTGTACAACACCAAATCCTCTGATCTCCAGTCTGATTCCTCACAATGAACCGTTGTGTTGGCATCTSTTTAAGGTTGTACTGGGGGAAACAATTCTGTTCTGTTGTCTCAAGCTTATAGTGCAGAGGAGGATRTGTTGTTTAAGAATTTATATTGCATTAAATTTTTATTTTTAAATTTGTATTTATAAATTTATATTTGTATAAGGTGGTACTTGGAGAAAGTTCTGTTCTTAATTAGTGATTTGGTGARGGCACATACTGTTGGTTTGGTCATTACTGACAGCGCTTATCTGGGACAAAAAATGGGTTTTCCTGTCTCAAATCACCAAAAGGCAGCAGGATTTTTCACTTCTTCATTCTCGTGATAGCTCCAACTGCAAGGCATGTCCTGAACAATGAAGAACACTTACTGAGTTTCTTCTTCATGCAAGGGAAGTGTTTGCAGGAGTATTTGACTCCAGAGTTGTCTGCATCTGTGTGGAATTTTGTTACTTCTTCGAAGTAAGTGCAGGGCTCCTTGTCCCCCCTAATGTGAAGGGGCCCTTGATTTGAGTGGGATACATGGGCAATCTTGTTTGATAAAAGACCAAGTCCTCTTACACAAGAGTAAATTTTCACACCAGAATGAATTTTCCCTGTAAACATTCCTATTTTTTTCTCAATGTAACTGCTAAAGGACTTTGTACAAAGTGAGCAAATCCATTATTAAGCATCTTGAGCGCAGAAGGGAAGCTGTCTGTTGAAGAGCAAGTCCTTCAGTGTTCCTTTTTTTCATTTGTTTGTGACAAGCAAGTCTAGCTTAAACCATCACAAATTGTGGGGGACTTAAATGTTCTACTTTTCTAAAGATATGCCAGCCTGTCTAGGATATACTTTTCTTCACTGTTATGAATTTTAAACAAAATACATTGATTTCTTATAAATGTGTTTCATTTTCACTCCCACTCAGTGTCAGTTAACTGCACTTATCTTACAAGGAGGAAAAAAAGCCTAATTGTTTAAGTCAAAGAACTGACTTTAATAACMCTTCTTTTTTACTGTAAAGATTTACTGGATAAATTTTGAGCAAATTGTTCAAACCTCTTCTCAACTTTCATTTTTCCAGACCTAGTGATACTGCTCTGTCAGACATCAGAGCATGTTGGGAAGTGAGAAGGCCTTGGTTCTGTTGGATTTGCTGTCCAAGAAATAAGCTCAGTTCCCATCTCTTTCCTTTCCCACAGGGTGAATCAGTGAAATACTTCCTGGATAACCTGGATCGGATCGGTCAGCTGGTAAGAGCAGAGCCCTTCTCCTTCTGAACCTCAGAGCTCAAAGAGACAGTGGAAGCCTGGGACTGCTGTGATTAATGGGTTTTGGTTGGGTTTTTTGGTTGTTTTTTTTTTAAATAATAATGCATTAAATCATTTTCCTTCTCTAGAAATAGTAAACTCCAGCTTTATGAAACTGAAGCTTAGTGTTTGCTTAATTTTTTTGGCAGAAAACAGTTGAAAGTTGTATTTGTGCACATATTTTATCAGCCCTTGTACGCAGTCTCTGGATCTCAGGATGACTTTTCCTGATGCTCTGATGGCTGGTGCTACTTAAGATAGCAAAATGAAATGTTAGTTAAATAAAAACCATTCATAGCACTTGTAGAATTCAAGACCTGTCAAGAAAACATCTGTCAGGAGACTTRGAGGAGAAAGAAGGGAGATGATTTTCCTAAATAGTAACAGTGATAAGCTTCTGAAGAATAAATTTCTCTACACTGGTAGGTTGGGGCCGCACCTTGTGGTAGAATATATTGCTGTATTGTGAACCTGGAAGAAGAACTTCCACTAAAGCTTTCAAGATGGTCTTTGTAAAAGTAATGAACTGTGGAAAAACTAGATTTAAAAAAAACTCCTTTAGTGATGGCTTGATCTGCTTTATTGAGCACTAACTACCTAAGTGGCAGTAACGCTGTAGCTAAGAATTTCATAGTGAAAAAATATACTCGAGCCTTGAAACAAGAGGCTTGAAGGATAAGAACGTTAACCAGTAAATTAGTCCTTTATTTTTATTTTCATAATGCCTCAGGATCTTCTGCAGCTGTTAACCAAAGTGTTAAGCTAAATGGCCAATGTTTTACAGTTGAGTATTCATTCTTCATCCCATAATTTAAAAAAGCRGTTCCTGGTCATTTTACCCATTGCTTCAGTATTCTGGCATTAGCCAGCATTTTTGAAGGATTTTTTTTTTGACGTTTCTCTCCTTTCTTTTACAGAATTATTTCCCCAGCAAACAAGATATTTTGCTGGCCAGAAAAGCCACAAAGGGGATAGTAGAGCATGATTTCATCATTAAAAAAATTCCTTTCAAGATGGTGGATGTAGGGGGACAGAGATCTCAGCGTCAAAAATGGTTCCAGTGCTTTGATGGAATAACTTCAATTTTGTTCATGGTCTCCTCCAGCGAATACGACCAGGTCCTCATGGAAGACAGGCGCACAAACAGACTGGTGGAGTCCATGAATATCTTTGAGACAATAGTCAATAACAAGCTTTTCTTTAACGTTTCCATTATCCTATTCCTCAACAAGATGGACCTTCTGGTGGAGAAGGTAAAGACAGTCAGCATTAAGAAGTATTTCTCGGACTTCAAGGGCGACCCTCACCGGCTGGAGGATGTGCAGCGTTACCTGGTGCAGTGCTTTGACAGGAAGAGGAGGAACCGCAGCAAACCCCTCTTCCACCACTTCACCACGGCCATCGACACGGAGAACATCCGCTTCGTGTTCCACGCCGTCAAGGACACCATCCTGCAGGAGAACCTGAAGGATATCATGCTGCAGTGAAGGAGGGCAGCCCCAGCTCGGTTGAAATTTCGCTGGAGGGTTCGATCGAAGTTTCTGTCCTTTCTTTGTGGCCCTTGCATGCGGCGTAGGACCCGTGCAAATTCCTTGGCTCAGGAATGCTGTACACTAGCCAGTCCAAACAGAGGAGCTATAGGCCGGAGGAGTCATGTTGATGTTAGCTACTGAATCATTTGGACTAGAAACACTACTGAAACCTGGCCGTGGGAGCTTCTGTCCCGAGTTTGGAACGCTGAGTAACACAACCACCGTCTGCCTTCTTGGAGAAYAGAAATCTCTGACAAACCATGTATGGAAGACACATTTGAAATGAATACACTCATTTTTCAGAGACACTAGTTGTACAAACTGCCTTTTTTTTTGTAGTTTGCAGGTGCTGAATCGATCAAACTAATCTAAACATGATGAGATTGGCAGCTGTATTGGAGAATGTTAATGGAAGTTCCATTCTTAACCCTTAGGAATATAACCAGGTCTTGTGTGCATGTTCAGCTTTGCCAAGGGTCTAGAACCCACCTCCCAAGGTGGATGCACAGCTCTTGCCTGAAGGTTTTGCATGAGTCTCCTGAGACAGAAGTTTAAAACTGTGTAAGGAAACTCATGTTGGAGTAAATGGGATGGGATGTTAAGGCCTCGCTGATACGGAGAAGGGTTTATTTTGCACTATGTGTGAAGGGTGTTACATCATGGGAAAATGGATTTCCTTGGTGCAGCAGCCTGTGCTGGAGCACCCAGCCATGGGTCTGCACAGTGGGTGCTCGAGGGAGATGTGCTGCATGGAAAACCAGAGCTGTTCTCACACCCACAGCGGGCAGCGTTTGTGAAGGTTCAGTATCTCACGTGACAGGGCTTCATCTGTRCTCTAAAGATTGAAAGTTGATTAAACTCTAAGCAAAGGTTTTGRTAGCACAGCAGCTGCTTGATTAGTTCCCAACAGCTGACCTTGTAGGAAGACTGAACACCCTGGAGATCCCARCTTTCCAGCTGTGCTGATGTATTTGGACAGCAAGACCTTGCTGTAAAATTAGCCTTTAATCTGTGTCTTAATGGGATCTTTAGCCTATRGTGATGCACACGGAACTCGGAGCACAGTCCGGTTTGGAGTCGCCCCTTTTGGGCACTGCTTTGTGTGTAAAATGGCAAGAGGCTGTGAATCATTTGGATGTGAACTCTGAATTTCCTTGTGCTCTCAATCTCTGCCAGGTGCCTTTTCTGTGTACAGACATTGAATCTTTTCTACTACAGTGGGGTACATGGRCAAACTGAAGATATTGTAGTGCTATCCTTTAGGTAACTCACAGTTTACTGTGCAATTTTTGTYATAGTTTTTATCCAAGAATAAAACCTGAAGGGCTGTTTGTACCCATAAAAAGTCAGCAGATTCCCTGGAGTTCTTATCCCCTTTGAGCCTGTAATGGCATGTCAAAACAAGCAAWGTTTTACTTCAGCTGGTAATCCCATGGGAAATGTGGTCAAAGCAAAGTCCTGTTCCGTTGTCCTTTCAWGTTAATTTGGATAAAATCTGGAATCTTTCTTCCCCTCTGAAGCTTGCAGATGTTCATATCAGTATTTTTGTGTAGTTTCCTGATGCAGCTTTCTTTGTACAGGCTGTGGAAAAGCTGTGGCTGTTTCAGTCCCTGTGACAGGCACAGAATCGAGGTAAGAAGCAACAGAGAAGTTGCAGATGGGAAAATCTTAAATTTGAGCAAACTTAAACAGGAATTAGCTTCCTTGTAACAAGTCTTATTTTGCCAGGACCAACTCTGTCTTTTAAATATTTATTAATTTTTAACCTTGAAGGAGAAGAATGTTATGTGACTAATATTCAGATGGGGGGAAATCTTAAGATTATTACATTTGAAAAGGAAAATGTTTCACCACAGTGTGATGCAAACAAGTTTACTCATCACATAAGGTTGGTTTCTCTGAGCCCATTTGTTTGGCTGAAGACTAAGGCTGCTTTCAAAACTTTCAGTTGTTTTCTGAGTTCTTGGTAGTGGTTTTCACTTCTCACAAGACACTGGGAAAGAGGAGGCAGTTGTGGGCTCACCTGACTTTCTAGGTTGACTTGACTTTAGTTCTTMGTTTGCTGTGAGCTTTATTCTTTCACTAAATTTTCCAGATGGGTTARTATTGTGCTTGTTTTCTCAAATGAGTTAAACATTCCCTTTCAACTGTATTTTTTCTCAAGAATTACCTCAGTTTTGTGTCTGAATCTACTGTAGTTTACCTGGGAGGTATAGCATGGAATTTCCTGTTCTGTTTTTCTCTCCATACTCATCCCTGGTTTTGTATCCTTAGTCACCTTACAGATTTAAAACTCTCAACAGAGCTAATGATGCAACTTGTATTTTAAATAACTTAAAATCTGCACCTGGAAAACAAACAGCATGAGAGATCTCACACTGAGCTCTCAAGCTTTTTTTCTTTTTTTTTTGTATGATACGGCAGTTTTGCACACTAAGTCAGTTTTAGGGAACCAGTTTGCTCACCTTGGGCCCATTATTGCCTTTCTTGTTTTTATTGATGAAATGGGCCTGAGTGTGGGGCTGCAGATGAAAATCAATGGTTTGGCTGTGTGGGYTCAGTGTTCTGTCAGGTTTGGATGGTGATGGACCACACCAGGAACCCAAGGTCAGCAAACTCTCCTTGCAAAAGTCAAGCACTTTGCAAGTTTGCCAAGGAGCTGGTCTGTGAGTAAAAAGGACATGGGGGTCTTTTTTAAGTGTCAGCTTTCTCTGCACAATACACTCCTTGCCACAACTGAGGGGTTTGGGGTTTTATTTTCAAGGTAAGTTGTAGTATAATAAAGCCAGAAAATCATGTTATGCTAAATCAGTGAATTACTAAAGCAGTTGAGGTAGATGAGGTTGTTCACACATCTCGGGACAGGCTTGGTCGCTTAGTCCTTTCACCAGAAACAAATAGAAAACTTTATTTTAAGTGACATCCTGGAGAACTTTGCAGGTAAACACAGCTGGAGAGAACATCTTTTTTTGTTAACTTTATAGGCTTATTGTTCATTTGGCTGGTCAGGAAATGGGTCACAGGCAGGATGATCATCAGATGGAGGCCTTGAACAACTACTTTTTTTCTTTTTTTTTTTTAAAGAATAAAGCAGCTTTTTGCTGTCCCTCCTCTGACACCCGGGGTCAGTGACAGAGTGTTGCAAAGGGGTTGTCTCTCCCGAGGACAAAGAGAGGAAGCTCTTGCAGCCTGTGCTTGGGGGCAGAGACTTACGTAATCCTGGACTTCAAGTAGAAAAACGAAATGGGAGTCATTTATCCAGCACTACTCTGTGTTTGTGGTCCTCAAAGCAAATGTTAAGCTAATAGAGAGTGTCAGTCAGTACCATTGCTGCAGACTGCAGTGCTCAGGTGCATTGCAAGGTGACTGGGTGAATTGAGTTCAGAAGGAAGAGTGGCTTTCTGGAAGTGACATGTTCAATARGCACTTGTCACTTGGAAGGAATGAAATAGTTTTTAAGGTTGAAAATGAATTAATGGTGGTTATGGAACTGCAATTGCTGGCCACTCAGTTTTACAGCTCAAAGTTGCTTTCAGCTTCATGCAAAGAATGGATCTTCTTTAGTTCGGCAGCATCGATTATTTGACTTATTAACTTGATAACGTATTTAATTTTTTTAATTGCTGCTCTGTATAACCTAGAAGTAGGCATGTGACAAGAATGAAGAAGCTGAAGATGGCCATTCCCAGGCCTTCTGAGGCAGGTAAAGCTGAGCTGCAGCCAGCCAGGCAGAACAGAGAAAGTAATGGCAAAGAAACTGCAGAGAAATGGAGTCGGAAGAGCTCATTTGTATGTGGCACTGGAGACAGATCTAATTCCCCTAGGACAGCTGAAGTGGCATTTGTYATGAAAAATGGTGCATTTGGAGTGTGTCCCATCCAGTTCATGTGTTGGCCCCCCCCATCCCCATGGCCTCATTCCTCTGGGAATTCACCCATCCTGGTTACTGTGATCTGCAAACAAACGTGGAATTAAAGCATTTAAAAGAACTGATGTGGTACCACTGAAGAAACCAGCAGCTTTCTTCAGTGACAGACAGCTGCTCTCCACAGATCAGCATTCTAGAAAACAAGTTCTCTGCTGCCTTTAGAAGGCTGTCTTTGTATTAACTGTTTTAACTTATATTAACTTATGTTTTGGAGTCTTTTCTATGYGTGTACTTCTTTATTTCTGGGGAAGAAAATCATTCTGTGCGTGGACCTGCAGGATTTCTCTAAAAGGCTCCTCTGATTTTCAAGTAGTGAGTTTTGACACCTGGCTTAGCTTGGCTTCTGTCATCAAATTTTCAGGAGTACCTGCTGGATTGATGGATGATTTGATGTGTGCCAGSTTGAGAGACAAACACGATATGCAGCAACACCTCCACACAGTGCAGTTTGTCATGTAAACCAAACACTGAGCTCATGATGAGAACTGTAAGTTTAGTAGTATCCTCTTTCTTATATTCTCTTTCTAGTACAAAACTCACATGGTGTAGTCAGGGGTTTGATATAGCACTGCCAACTCTTTACCTCATRCTCTTGAATTCTGTAACACAAAGTGGTGGGTGGGTGTTTCAGTAGCAACTCTAAAACATCTGTGCCTACTTCTGTAAATGAGCTTTTAACAGTTTTTAGGGAGCATCTGTGATAGATCAGGAAGGCTGGCATGGTCTGGGCCAGACTTGGCCTGAGTTAATGCTGACTCCAYGCAGTTCTAGGTGAGGACTGTGTAGCCTAGTGAGGAATAATTGGTAATGCAAGAYCTAGTGCTTTTTAATAATACCTGTTTTGTAATTAGCTGGGGTGATCTCTGCTTTGTGCTGTGACGTGGGCACTTCTTTGTTTTAACACTAATCCTTTTTTACATAGATGGAAGTGAGTAARGCCAGGACATTTGGAGCTGAAACTGCCTCTCTGCTATAACCAGGTGATGCTGCCTCTTTGCTCATCTTGGTGGTTGGGCAGTTGAGCTCGATCCTTGACGTTTTTATCTTTTTAATGGCATTTGGAAAGCAGTGTTGAAGTTTGTCTGTGTGWTGATTTGCTTGTGTTCTTACTGGGTGGGGAGTGTGGAGGTACTAGATTGTCAGTGCTGGTGGTTCTGTGCCTGGCTTGAGGAGCTGTCACAGCCCAGCTCTTGGCCTGTGACTG